GTTGCATTGGAGGGAATACTGGCACGGTAGGCGGACCTAAAAATATGAAGTTGGCATGAAAGGAAACTGCCATTGTTTGTATTATATTGTTTTAAAACGTCGTCGGCTTTCGCGACCAATATCCTTCATAATAGAGGTGTTTTGGGTTAGATCGCGTAAATATATAAATGTGTCGTTAAACCCGCCACCACCCGACACAGCCAACTAGTAAGGTGTGTCACTTAAACAGAACGTGCCAATTCGTCACGAGTACAGCACTAGTGTATAGTGTATGATGTAGTGTATGGTGTAGTGTATAGTGTAGTATACTAGTACAGCTCACCGGTGTGTTGGAGAGCTCAGCCACAACATTTACAATCCGAGTCCGACGTTTCGCCAGTAATTACAACCAGCTTCATCAGGCGACAGCCAGATCTGTGGAGACATATTCCCGTTTCGTTCCTTAAATAGATTCCAAAGAACACAGGATGAGATGTTACTATCCTTTGTGCAAGCACTTCCAAGAGTTCATGAACAGTGAGCCTGGTGAAATTTGGGGAGCGCATCGTCAGTAGTGACCCTTTGGTTCCTAGGGTGTTTCGGCCTTTCATACTATACACCCTCCCCAAAGGCGGCCAGCGACAGGGTGATCAATCCTACGCTTGCGTCCCATTCCCAATTAGTCATAGGAGTTGCCTTGTTGTTGGTAGCCAACATCCCATGGGACTATGCATGGCAGGGGCGTCCTCCTCCCTGAGTCAAGCATTGTTGACTGCATACCTCCTGGCCCTCTCACTTTGGGGCCCAGCTGGGGTATTTCCTCTTCATCCAGAGCCACTGACTGCTGCATTCTGCCGCCTCCGATACAGCTTTGATTGCCGAACGCTGGCTCTGGCCCTTAATTCCCAGGTCTCTAAGCAGTCTGGTTGTAGATGTTGCCACAAAACCTCTGCAGCCCACCTCCACTGGTCGGACTTCTGTGTTCCAGCCATGATGCCGTGCTTCGGCAGCTAGATCGGCATAGCGCAGATGTTCTCGCTCATAAGCCTCATCTACTGAGTCCTCCCAGGGTACTGTGAGCTCAATGATGAAGAGTGATAGATGTTACGGGTTTAACGACAACGTCTATTTACGCGATCTAACCCAAACGCCCCCATACCATGGTTGTATTATATTGTGTTACAGGACTGTATTGTGAGGTTTAACACAAGCCTATACCTTTTGTCGCTGCTTGATGTTTTTTTGTACGTTTTATGTTACTGGATTCTACAGTAATAATAATAACAAACAACAAACAACCACGATGACAATAATCGTGGAGGCTGGACAAACCAAATGTTTAATTTGTTGCCGAAGCGGACCATTTGTAAATAAGTCAACAAGCAATATTCAATCATCCACGTGTGGGTGTGGCCCTTATTAGAATTTGCTGGAGGACATGCGGGGCGCTGTGCGTGGCTTATTAAGTAGCAGCGGTGGACGAGCCGCGCTCAGAACACGGCCACCCGAGTTCGATTCCCGCTCACGGCCTATACCGACGCCAGTGACGATTAGGTCGGCTCGGCCTCAAATGAGCATGGGCATCTGGTGCAGTGTGTGAGCGTCGCCTGTGGGGAGAGACAAAGGCGGTCGGGCGTGCTTGTGGCCACCCCACCCCCCCTCGTGTGCCGTAGCGGCCTTCTTTGGTGCGACTCGCTAACTGCGCTTGCCCCAACAGTCTGTCAAAGCGACATGGGGTCTTGTGCGTTTTTTGGTTAGGAAATATTTCTGCGTATTCATCAGTCCATCATCAAGCAACATCCTCAAATGCAACGGTGACAGAGCGGCGACCATGCCGTTCGTGTTGTCCTTTGTGTCAAATCATCCACGACTCGACCACCGCTCTCCATACTGATGGAGCTCGTTTGCAATTCCAGGCGAAACGTCGGACTCGGATTGTACATGTTGTGGCTTGGCTCTCCAACACAACACACCGGCGGTGCTGTACCAGTAACGAATTGTCCACGTTCTGTTTACGTGACAAACCTTTACGAATTGGCTGTGTCGGCTGGTGGCGGGTTTTAACGACACATTTATATATTTACGCGAGCTAACCAAAACAACAAACCTTTATCATGGCTCTCCATACTCTTCGTTGGCTCTTTCGCCGCAGCACTAAATAAAAAGTGGCGCCTGCCTTTGCTATCGTACCCTCACGGCTCTCGCCTTGCGCTGAAGGCTTCACGGTAGACCCCGAGGCAGAAGCGGCAGCAGCAGCGTCACTCAAAATCTGCGTCAGACACCGAAGGTCTACAACTGTTAGAGCCTCACGTCCACTATGCACTACACTATACACTACACTACTGTACACTGCACTATACACTACACTATACACCTACACAACTGCTACAGCCTCACGTCACTATGCAACACACTACATACACTACTATACACTACACTATACACTACTATACACTACACTATACACTACACAACTGCAATCGGGAAACATGTTCAGGTAATAATGTATACATTATTATTTTCAGCACACAATCGACAGGAGGTAAAATAAACCATGGGTTTGTATAATGCGCAATTGCAATAATGGTCGTTGATGAACATGTGAATAACCCAAACGCCAATAGATTCCAGAGTCATTTAGATGCATTCATGAATTTCCTCCCCCCCCCCCCACTTCGTGCAAGAAGAGCACACGAGTGACATCATCACACCTCTCCCTCTATTTAAGGAACGATATGGGAGATTTCTCCACAAATCTGTCTGTCGTCTGATGAAGCTGGTTGTAATTACTGACGGAAACGTCGTACTCAGAATTGTAAATGTTGTGGCTTGGCTCTCCAACACACCGGTTAGTGCTGCACTAGTGACGAATTGGGCACGTTCTGTTTCCGTGACAAACCTTACTAGTTGGCTGTGTCGGGTGGTGGAGAGTTTAACGACACATTTATATATTTACGCAATCTCACCCAAAAAAACTCTATTAAGGATGTATACAAGTACAATCACCGACTGTTATTGTCCATTAAAACTCTCTGTGTTTTAAATTTTGATTTAAGCTTTCGTGACTGCAGGGATTCATATTATTGGTTCTTTCGGTAAAGTCACGTATAAGGGAATAATAAAATAATATAAACATAAAACAATAAAAATTCTCACGACGTTTCGACTGCAACACAACCAATCATCATCAGATGATGATTGGTTCTTTCGGTGACTTTGCCGAAAGAACCAATAATATGAATCTCTGTGCTTAGTTTATTTTGTTAACTGTGCTTGTCCACACACTGCCAAAACTCCCCCGTATAGCCTCTAACAGACTGCCGGGGCAAGTGCTGTAGCGACCAGTACCTATCAGAATGTTTATTTCTAGTGCAATCCGATGAGCTAGAAAGCTCTTTATTTCACAGACGTCCAGTGAGGTCACGTGATCAGAACGCTACAACAACAAACAATACAAACAGCACAGGCAGGAGTTCAAAGTACAGGAAAGGTAAATAAATCACTTAAAAATATATATATATACAGATTCAACTAAACTATTTTTTGTATCTTACCAGGTAAAGCCCACTGAGCTAGTAACTAATTTTTCAGAATAACCCGGCCACAAATGATAGCTCAATAAAGTGGCTTATCATATGGACATCCATAGCAGCCAAATAATCTAAATCATCTAAAGTCCCGCACGGCACACGAGGGGCTGGGTGGCCAGCACCACGCCCGGCCGCCTTTGTCTCCCCAGTGGCGATGTTTACGACACACCGCACCGGGTACTCATTTGAGGCTGAGTCGACCTAGACGAGGCCTGCGACCGGCAGCATTACTCAGTGGGCTTCACCTGGTAAGATAAAGATACACCCTTGTTGTGTCGTGTTTTTGTTAGTGATGTGTTTCCTATACTTTGCACTCTATCGTGTTTTTGCGTTGTTTGTTGTAACTTTCTGACCACGTGACCCTAGGGGCCGTCCATAAATGACGTCACGCACCTAGGATGGGGGGGGGGGGCAGACATTTGTGACGATGTGTGACGATGAGGGGGGGGGGGGGTGAGAAATGTGACGTCACATCAAAATGTGCAATTTTAAATAAATGTAGACAACACGTTCTACTTAATTAAATAGACTTTTAAGTAAATGTTTTCTCCTACAATATCAGAGTGCAGACGCCCCATTAAATACGCACTACAATGACAATAGTTTAAAGCGATTGAAGCATGTTTTATTTTTTTTTGGGGGGTGGGGGAGGGGGGGCTAAGCTTTGTGACGTCACATTTGAGGGGGGGTCTGACTTTTTGTGACGCCGTGTGACGATGGAAGGGGTGGGGGGGTGGTTAAAAAATCGTCCAAAATCGCGTGACGTCATTTATGGACAGCCCCTTAAGGTTGAAATTCCTTGAGTGAAAAACATCCATTT